CGCGTATCACTGACACCTTGCTGATTGCTTCACTAGTGTACCTAAGGACATCCGAAATGCAGTTGTCTTTTCTGGGGGAAGATATCTTGAAGTGGCGCTGATAATGGGAGAAAGCACATCTACCAGGTCACCTTTAATGCGTTATCTAGTCCTTCTGTAGGTAGTCCCGTGTTCTTGTCAATGATGATCGGTTTCTGATCTCCTCCGTTAGGTGTTCCAAGATGAATCTAAAATTTTCTCGCTGCATCATTTCCGCTTGGACTAATGTATCGCATTGTGTCAAGGTCAGCTTGAGATTTTTTTTTCTTGAACGAGTTTTTATGTTGTTTGCTTCTGCGCTTGGTACCTGCGCCATTTGATAGGAACTTGGTCACTGGGTCCCCTAGGATCATTTGGTTTTCTCCATCCAACTGTTGTCGCATCTTGATAGTAGCTGGTACCTCTGCGTTCCATCACCACTTTCTCTGTCGTCGCCCACCACGGTCTCTCGTTGAATGTTGTCTGATAGCCACTTGAGTTCTTCCACGAATTCTAAGTGCCCAGCAGCATTCTTTCTCCTGCTGCTGTTCTCGAAATCCTCAACTATCTCCATAGCTGTCTGAGGCGAAAACCTGGCACGGTTTGTACATAAGGGATTTCGCTTGGGTGTTTTCTACGTTGCCTTGGAGAATTGCAGTTTCAGTTGTTTATGAGCACTTCCTACACTATGTGCATCAACTTCATCAATATGTACGTGAACGAGATATTGAGCCAGGGTCTGCGAGACTAAACGTAGTCGATACATGCTTTACTCTAGCGAGCACTCCAAGTGGACTAACACTCACATACATTTCTGAGATTTATAATCTCCAAGCCAGGGTCTTCGGTCATCAGCATCACGCCAATTCTCGTCCTCCCAACCGTCCAGTTCGTGTGTACGTTTGTTGAAATCACTTATCAAGAGTACTTCTCTCGCAGCAGCCAGGACCTTAACGTTATTCAGCACACAGGCGACCAAACGCTGGTTCCTCTTTCTTAGTATATGTCCAACCGACAAAAAAAGTATGCACACAGCTACCGAGATACAAATATTTCTTCTGCTAGTCATATGTGATCCCAGGACTTCTGTCGTACAGATTGCATACGGCCCAACACCATTTTGCGTAGGTTGGCGACTCTTCAAGATCACATAGATGGGTCTCAGCTACTCAAAGAAGAAATATTTCTTCAGCTTCTAGCTCGCCAAATAGTTTCTTTCTATTTCAGCTCCAGTATCGGTCTATGGAGGTTGATAAATCCCACCACATCGGTTGGTTGTCAGCTGCATCTACGTCGCTTCAGTCTGCTTCTTCCGCCTTGTCCTCCGATCTTCACTCCAATGTCTATGACCCCTCTCCTCGGAGGCGTTTTTACACTCAGTACCACTGATTCCAGTGGCCCAGGTGCTGACCCCCTTTCTCTTCCAGCATCGCACACAAGTCTTTTGGAGGGGGAAGGAGAGGTGGAAACAAGCAGGCATTGACGCTGGGAGTGGCCAGGTTTCTGTGAGGTGTCTCGGCGGTCCTCCACCTCGTGAAACCTTGTACTGAATTCGGAGTCGTTTCATCTGGGGAAGCCGACCCATGGAGGGAGGGGGGGGGGGGGGGGGGGGCGTGCTTTCTTTTTTATTCACGTTTTTGCGGATACTTTATGTTCTTTGACGCAGGCGTCAAAGAACTTAAAGTCACTGCTTACGCCACTACCGAGGCGAGTTCTACTCTTGTCACGACAGCCTTTCGCGTTGTAAACCCGTCTACTGGACTTGAATGAAGTCGCGAGAGGGCTGTTTCGAATGCCAGTGCACATGTCACCTTTGTAGGCAGAGCAACAACGTAGCAATCGCGACGCGAGGGCTGACTCCGCCTCGATCTGGCCGACCGCGCTCGCTCAGCTCAAATGCTAGCGTGGGATTCTCTAGCACCGTTAGCTTACTAAAGATGCAGGACGCTACTTTGCCGTCGCAAACCTTTTTTCCCTTCGTACGGTGGCCGATTAAGCTAACGCGTCTTAGCTTGAAGCGTGAAGCGAAAGCTTGCGCTGCAGGACCTCCTCACTCGCAGAAATATGGGACAAGGGGTACAGGGGTGCACCCCTTGTCCCATATGTAACATCCCAAAACTACATTTCGACGTTCTGTCCACCGACGCCGAGCTGCCGATATCAACTTTTACGAGCGGCTCGATAGTCGAGCGAGACAACTTATTAAAATAGCTAATGTACTCGTTAAAGGCTACAACCAGACAATAAACGTTATTTTGGCCCTGCTGCAAAACCACTGTAATTTTTTTTTGTATTCTTCGATAGGCACATTACCTATTTAGTACGTTATATCCAACAGCTATCAAGCCGCTCGTAAAAGTTGGTATTGCCAGCTGGACGTCAGTGGACAGAACGACGAAATGTAGCTTTGGGGTGTTACATATGGGACAAGGGGTGTGCCCCTGTACACCCCCTATTTCGGAGAGTGCTGGGTTCGATCCCCACCTTCTGCCCGCTTCGTTCTGGACGAGTTTCGTACCGGCACGCGTTTGTGTAATCACTTCTGCGTGATGCACGCTAAAGACCCCAGGTTAGCGGTTGTACTGCACTGGCTGTATTTCTCATCTATAGCTACGAGAAAGGTCACCCGTGGAGGCGTACTAGCATCAAAACTGTCTAAGCGTACAAGCAACACCATTTTTTGCTGGGTTCGGCAGATGACAACTGGTGCCACATCGCGTTGAATCTTCACGGATCCCTTCCTTCTCGTCTGTGTGTTTAAGTTGTGGTTCTGCAGTGCCCGTGTCGACGTATATCTCGGATTGCATATTTACAATCCGGTATTTTTATCGTAAGTGCGCTGCAATTAATCTACTTCTTGGCGACAATTGATCGCTCTTCTACGGGTACTATTTCAGATTACCTCTGGAATTCGGCAGTGTCTATCTCCCGGCAGGCGGGAGAATAATTTCCCCGAAATTCTACCGGCAGTCGTCTGTCACTAGCTGTTTGAAATCATGTGACCAATGCAGGTAAAATTCTGACTTTCTTATTCTCCCTGCGTTTTGTGAAAACAAGTTTCATGAAGACCTTTTCGTGGATACACGTTTCGTGGACACACATTTCGTCGCGCGTGTACTCTTGAGGCGCGTGCTCACCTACCCAACCGACCCGTTTAGGCCGCCTCCTGCCAACGATCTGCGGCGGCGCATTAAAAAAAAAAACTAATTTGAGTTTTTACGAAACATCGCGTGTCGATGAAATGATCCGTCGACGAAACGTCGTTAGATGAACTGATTGTACCGCCAATGAATGGCGACTGCCGGCAGAAATTTGAGGAAATGATTCTGCCGGCTGCCGGGACACTAGACACTACCCAAGAATTACCTCGGATATTGTTTGCTTTGAAAACAAGTTGTATAACAGCTTAGTGGTACCTCTTCACATATTACAGAATGCTTAGTTTGAACTTGTCTACGGAATACGCTGTATATAATGAACTTCTAGGAGATATGAGAACAATCCTTTGTGTCTGTTTACCTGTTTCTTTGCAAACACCTGGATGAGTCCTTTTTTTTTTTTAAGGTTTGCTTGATGTTTTGAATAGGTTTATCAAGTTCGAAAAATCTTGAATAGGTTTGAGATGCCTAACGTTCTTTTATATCTAGATATAAGGTCGGCTCTCCTTTATTACGATATAGTGACAAGGTTTCACATTTCATACGATTCCGGTAAAACAAATTATAGGCAGATATAGCACGATAGGACGAGCTAAAGAACAAACTATAGCAGACAATGCAGAGGGCTATAGGCGGTTAAATAGACCGCAGGAAATGCTGTACGCAGCCATAGCACAATGGATAAAGAGGACCATAAGACGAACTATAGAATTATCTATAGCAGACCATACAGAGAGCAATAGGCAGCTGAAGAAATCATAAAAAAATCCACAGGCTGCTATATAGCACGCAGGCTAGAAATATCCATAGAGTAAGCCATAGAGATTTCTATAGACGACCATACAAGAAGCTATAGGTGACTAAAGATACCGTAGAAAAAACCATAGGCAGCTATAGAACTCTGGTTAAAGAGATTCAGAGAGAAAGCCCTAGAAATATATAACAGATCATACGAAAAGCTATGGGCGGCTAAAAGAACCAAAAGAACAACTATAAGCAGCTATAGCATACTTTCTAAAGAGACCCCACTGAGTAAACCATGCAAAATTTTATAGCTTTCTATTGAGAAAATTATAAATAATTATAGCCAACCAGTGATAGGCCATAGAAAAAGCTAGAGACAGCCACAGAGGAGACAATCGGTAAAGCTATAGAGAGCCATATAAGAGGCTGTAACAGCTTGGGCCAATTTTCTATAGCCGGCTAAACAAAGGATTTTTATAGCCGACCATGGACCATTTTTGTATAGGCAAAGTCGCCGCCGAGATTACACGTTATCTCACTCCATGTTGAGCTACAGCCGCTGCCATAGGAGCCGTCAGGTCGAGTCCCAAGCCAGTTAGAAATAACCTCGCATATTGGTTCCACGCGTGTTTGAAGGCAGCGAACTGATTGGCGCGTCGGAGAAATATGTCACGTTGTCTCTAACCGGCTCGTGATTGGACATTGCGGCCCGCAACATTGACTGTAGACAGCTGCAGGGTGAAACCAAGTGCAGAAAATTGGAAAACTTGTACATAGCAGGAGTTCTGGCTATTGACCAATCGCTTGTCAATCGTAAATTATCATCAGGTCCTTTTAAGATGTTTAGATTATCTTTGCTACAAACTCCGATTCTACTATAATGTATCGCCCTCATTCTGTTATGAAATATATTTAGTGGGTTCTCACCACCATCTGTATGGAATAGATTTCGGCTACTTTTAGCAAAATGCTTCTACGACAACGATTTCAAGAGCAGAATGTGTCACAACCGGGAGAGCTTATTCATATTAAAATGTGCCTATTATGTAGTCTACTGGAACGTACACCAAGAATACTCACCAATCAAGTGTTCCAGGCTTGCAAATTTGTGCTCCATTGTCATCACTTTGCATGTTGTTGTCGTCAGCTCGGCAGTCTTAAGCAGACTCTTCACGTACGAGATGAGATCTTCCCTGGTCTCTAGGCCCACACTCGGAGGGATCGGCCCCTCCAAGATCTGTGCACGAAAGACGCATGACGCAGTTCTTGTAACACAATATATTTGGTTTTAATCAAGATTACGGGTGTCTTGGGACGCTCACAAATTATCATAAAACACTTTACCAGTGGGAATAGATCTCACTCCGGGGAATTTCAATAGCCTTGCCGTGGACAGTTTTCGCGTAGTTCAAGCGGCTAGACACGCCGCAGCTTTTCAGTCTTTTCCTATTAATTGATGATGATGATGACTATGGGACTTTTCTTTTAGAGCGCAGCTCTTAGGCGCCCGTTTTTGACCTTGCGAATGCACAGCATTCGCGAGGTCAAAAGTGTGACCAGTCGTCCAACAATGGTCCACCAGTTCAGTTTTTGATCTTGTGGCATGTGTTGCCTTCTCCACGTCTCTTTTGTGCTCTTTGAAGCGGGTACTCCGTTTGCGGCCAGTTTCTCCAATGTAACACTTGTCACACTCCTGACAGTTCACTTTGTATACAATACCACTTTGAGATTCAGGAGGGGTTGGATTTTTTGCCTTCGAAATGAGGTCACTATATGGGGCTTGAAAGTTGTTCGTATACCTAGTGGAAGGAGGGACCGGCGAATAGATTCTGAGACGCCTTTTACATAAGGGATAGTCACCACGCCTGCTTTGTAATTATTAGTCGCTTTTGTTCTTCCCTGCTGCATCTGTTTACGTGTGTTTTTAATAAAACCTTGTGAATACCCGCGCCTCAAAAGGGATCCGATAACAGTCTGAACTTCCGATGCTCGTAATACTGAATTTGAAGGGAAATGTTCTGATCGGCTTATTAAAGTTTTTACAACAGCTCGCTTATGTTCCACAGGGTGGTGAAAATTGAAACTCAAAAAATTACCGGTATCACAAGGTTTACGATACACGGTGGTTTCAATCTGACCGGTGTCACTTCGGCAAACAGTTACATCCAGAAAAGGTAACGTGCTATCTTGTTCAACTTTTTGCGTGAACTGTATGGAAGATTCAATGCTGTTTAGGGTTGCATGGAAGTTATCGACGTGATCCTCATTTAAAATAACGAAAGTGTCATCTACGTAACGTTGATAGAATTTGACAGGGCATGCTTTTACTTCTAACGCGGTTTGCTCTATGTGTTCCATTACCCGATTAGCCAAGGTCACAGATACCGGACTACCCATTGGGCAACCCTCAATCTGACGATAGAATTGTCCACGGAAGGTGAAATGCGACTGATTTAGACAAAAACGCAAAATAATGATAATATCCTCAACTGTAAGAGATGTCCGTGACTAAAGTGTAGAATCATTACGCAGGCGTGTTTCGGCAACTTCCACTACAAGAGTGGTCGGAACATTAGTGAACAAAGATATGACATCAAACGAGACCATTACATCTCCCTTGTCCAGAACATGACCTCGAATCAGGTCAACAAATTCTCGAGAGTTTATCACTGTAAATTTGTTATTCCCTGTTATGGGAGAAAGCAGCTCTACTAGATACTTTGATAGGTTGTACGTGGGGGAACCAACAAACGAAAAAATCGGTCGTAGAGGACAATCGGGTTTGTGAATTTTGGGAAGGCCGTAAAGTTTAGGAGTATAACCATCGGAAGAAAAAAGGCGGCGGTAAATTGGTGTATTCGCAGTGACCCATCCGCCTGCAATTCTAACCGCGGCCCCCTCCCCGACGTGTACACCGACATCCTGAAATAACTTTTCATTTAACTTCCCATCCACGACGGACGTAAAAGAAGTTCAAGTGAGTGCAAACGATGATAATGTCTCCCGTATGCCATGGACGAATAAGTCGTCAGAACCAGCGCTACGGATGAAGAGAAAGAAGAGGAAGCGTTGGATTGCTGGTAGCGAGTCGGGTGTTCCTAGAGCCACTCTATATGGCAGCGTAACTGCCAGAGTAGCGACACGACGCAAAATTATCTAGATGCACGACGTCAGATGCGCTGATAGTGATCTCCATTTTGGACCTGAGAGGTTGCCATGGTAACCGTGCTTCTAGCGACGCCGGGCGGCAACCTTTGTAGTCTAGTTGATATCTCCATTCGCTCATTGAAAAGTGGTATAAGACGCTTGGCATCGCGGTACGGCAAGAACCTCTGGAGGAACAGTGCCTGTTTTTTCTGAAAAGTGAGACGATTTGCAGCCCGGGGACTGTCGGGCGACGAGAGCTGCTATATGGTATCGTACGTGCACGGACAATGCGAGAGGTTTTCGACGCCGCCGGGAAGGCGGCCGCTTCGTGGGACGAACGTACCGTCCTAGTACTTTCGGACTTCGCTCCGATGGAACAAAATTAAGCCGGCCACGACAGGACGATTAGCTCGGGGCATGACTGCTGCTCGACTGCCCCATAGTGAGCGAGTATATGTTTAGCATCATACTTCTTCAAGGCCTGATCATCCCTTCAAGATGAGATTTTCTCACCAACTGGTGAGGAGCGACGTCGACGGGGTTCAACCAAGAAGGACGGCATTGTGGTCTTTAGGGAATTGTTGACGCCATCAAAAGAGACGGACGCCGGATATGAGGTCTTCTTGCCGACAGGCCAAATGGTATTTCGGAAGTTTACCGGCATTCAAAACGTCAATATTTTTATCTGGTGTAGCACACATATCCGTGTTAAAGGGGCCACGAAATTATTTTAAGCTTCTTCTTCCTTACCTGTAATCCTCAACTCGAAAGAGAACTGTGAAATCACGCAGTGTGACATGCTAGGGCACCGGTGCGATGGCCCCAAGCTTTCACCGTGCTTTTTAAGCGCACCGTAGAACTTGGCATTCCCAAGTGATGATAAGTTTTTCAGGACACTCATTGGCCAGGAACTCGAATTCAAATATCCATGGACGAATTGATTGCTGACGAGCGCATACATCCGAGCGACGCAGTTTTCGTGTCCAATGCGTGAGTTGGGGTCGGCTGACGTCATTTTGGCCTTTGTAGGCATTGTAAAGAGGATATTTAGAACCACACACACATGATGATAACATCATAGCACACTGACATTAAGTAGCACAAAACGGGCCCAGCTACAGAAAATAAATATTACACTCGTAAGAAATAAATACGTCTTTGACTTGTTAATTACAAAGACGAACACACCTCTGAGCATCTAAGTTTAATAGTATCTGTTGATGCATTGTTATATAGCAGGACATTTCATATACGTCACTTGAGAAAACGGGAGTTTTTCACTTGAAAAACAAACCAAAAAACACTGCGATCAAATGCAAGCCATTGCAACGAAAGCAAGTTATATTAAAATCTTCAGAACTGCCAATTCGTAAAATTGGCGATTAGTAAAAAAGGTTAAAGATCGCAGGAGCTTCCTCGCTAAAAAATGCTGCGATTATTCGGTGACCCAGGGCTGAAACAATTTCCCCAAGGCCCTACACGCGCCGTATACCTTTCGTTATGATTCTCAGAAATTCAGACTTTCAGAGGAAGCTAGAAAAATGCGAAAATTTTATCCTAAAAGCTATGTGGAGCTCAAGTTCGTCTGCTTCTTTTTGCAGGGGTTGTGGTGACGTCAGAACGCCGAAATCTGAGTGGCTCCGATCGATTGAAGGATAGTGGGTAGACCTAAAAGGCAAGCTCCCTTGAGGCCCACCCACTATTCTTTATTCAGAACCAATCAGAGCTCGGCGTCTTAATGACGTCACTACAAACCCTACTAAAAAAAGCAGATAAACTTGCGCTGCGCATATCGTAAAATCGCTGATTAGTATACTTGGGAGTTGTGTGAACATTTACACAGCGTGTAGTTGGTCAGCCATTTCAAAGTTGCGACGAGTCACTCGCTGTAGATGAGCAATTTAGCCAATGCAGTATAACCGCTAGCCTGGGGTCAATAGGTCTTTAACGTGCACCACGCAGTAGTGATACACAACCGCAAGCCGGTACGATGCTCATCCAGATCGAAACGGGAGGGGGTGGGGATTGAACCCAGGTTCCCTGGTTGATTAGTACATAACGTAAACATCGCAGAAGCTTCCTCGCTAAAAGTTTGTGATCATGCGGTTACCTGGGGCAAAAACAAATTCCCCAAGGTCCAACATGCGACGCATAGATTTCGCATCGATTCTCAGACACTCCAACATTCAAATAAAGCTAAGAGAATGCGAAAATTGCATGCTAAATGTCTTATCGATCCTCAAACACATCCGGAAACCCGAGCACCGCTAAGGCGATATTACTGATGCTGTCGCACAGTTGCTAATATCCAGAGCGATCTTGCACAGAAAGGGTATAAAGTATCATTCTTTCAGATCTTCATGTTATACCTACATCAGAAAGCACGAAGAAGCCCTAAATCGTCGGCAAGCTGCGGCACATCACGACTCCTGCGCACCGAACGAACTCGCATCCACCAGCTCTGGGCGCTGCCATCTCACCGATGACATCACGGTTGTTGAGAGGTCACGCAACGAGTCGTCACTCGATTGCTACGGAAACCGAGCCAGCTCAGCTCGTTGCTATGGTACCGCGTGTGACCAATCGCGGTGAGAGGCGGCACAGGGAAAAGCGTGGCGCTACTCTGGCAGCTACGCTGCCATATCGAGTGGCTCTAGGTGTTCCCAGGTCGCACTGATGATTTCTCCCGTATAGGAGACGAAACATCTGATAAATTGTTGGTATTGTTATGCAAGTCGGAGGTATTTGTTTTTAATCATGAACCCCGGCTTTTGGAACATTTTTGCACGTTTCGGGGAAAAGTAAAAAAAAAATCCTTGATTTAATTGCTACTTGGTATACATTTACATATTTTAAGAGGCAGCGCCTTTGTATTCCGCAGTAAAAAGGAAAATATGTTGTTTTTACACTTTTCTCGCTATTAAGCTCGGAGGTCAATGCAACCTACTAGATTAATTAATCGATTAAAACGAAGTAATTAATCGCCTTAAACTGTTTCATCGACGCCCACCTCCGTTTACCGTCTATAGAAATGTAAAAAAATGTTAATACTGCCTTACCTCTCTGTACTTCTCCCAACGATGCATCGTGGCCAGTTTTTTGTGAAACCGCATCGGAGGGCTGTAAGCGTTGAAGATAAGGAAACACTCTCCTCCTGGTTTCATCAATCTGGCGACATTCCTCAAAACCGGTTCTTGGTCTCTCATCCAGTGCAAGCAGAAGAATGAGTAGACGCGATCAAACTCTCCGTAGCGTTCGACAAACTCGGACACATTATGCTTGGACCCAATGTCCAGGATATCGTAGCAGATCTTGGGATGGGCGAAGTGCTGCCGCGCGTACTGCACCAGGACCTCGGATTTGTCGGCGGCGACCATCCTTCGGAAGGGAGGACAGCGGGGCAGAAGGCAGTCACGCGTGAAGTCTCCGGGTCCGCAGCCCACGTCAAGAAACTGGTGGTCCGATGTTCTTTCAGCGTTAAAGGATCCTTCGAGTTCCAAAACCTTAATACCCATTTGCCGCTGCGGTTCATTCATCTGGAGATACGCTTCAGGCTCGAATGTCTTGGAAGTTCCCTTATCTTTCACGGACATGTTGGAGGCCACGAACTTAGTAATGACAAAAAAAAAAAATCCTAACGGCTCGCTGATGTCGGCGGTAAAAGGAGGTCGATTTCTAATCGCGTTCGAAATGGGTTTGGTAAGCGGACCTCATACTCCAGTAGCAACGGCGTAAGCCCCCTAAATGCCTTTGCTTTCCGAGTTTGCGAAAGCCGAACTGAAACACGTGCTCCTCTTCGAGTCAGCGCAGCTTGCGTGAGCGGACACAGCTGGTGCACATTGCAGCGAGTTGAATTAAATTCGCGCTTTTGTTCTCAGTTGGGGTTGTTGGCACAGGAAACTCCCCATCTGCATTTCGAAGGAGAAAACAAGAATGGGCAGTCCTGTGTTAATCGACAGTACACGGAGTCGCAGCAATAGCGGCGACACATCGCGGCGAAGTCGGTGGGAATCGGCGTCGCGTTCACAACAAGATGGACATCTCACAATTTTCTTCCGAACGCTTTTTCTTTTTTACGCTTAAAAACTTTTTTTTCGCGAGTTTTTGTAATTGGCAGTACTACGACGGCATTTTGTCATCTGCTATTTGCATTTTTCAAGAGAGCGCGCGCAGTCGCCGCATCGGATAATACGAAGGATGGCGTCACCCTAAACAGAAGAAAATTCGTAGAATTATTTTAGTGTACGCTAGAGGTTCAACTGGCTCTAGTGTCTGTGGGACTTTCGGTTTCAAATTGAAGCAAGCAGCAACCAGTCCACTTTTCCGGTGCTCCTGCGCATTCCTAGCGGAAATTGCGGGTGCATTCCCTCTCTCCGCCGGAGAGTGACAGGAACAACTTTTGGTACTTGGGTCATAGCAAATAGTAGGAAACATCATTAATATTATGAAAGACATTTGCTTTACTTACAGTAATTTTCCGATCAGTGAGTGAAATGCTTCCCAGAATTCCGGGTTCAGTTCCACGATAAGTGTGCAATATAAGTGCCGAATCTAAGCAAGAAAAAACACCTTTGTATCGACTTGTTCAAACAGCGCAAACATCTTAATGACGATTATATTGATATTCTGCGATATTTATATGCCACTAAAATTACTTTCCTCCCCTTTTTTTAGGAGCGGTTAAAACCCGTAAAACAGTAAAAGTACGCGCTCCATAAAAGGTGACTTTTTTTTTTAATATTATACTGAATCTATCGGGCAATAAGAGTTTTCTGGCTTTTCCCCATTTTACACGTTTTCGGGCATCCAGATATTTTTTCTGAACGCTAGAACAAACTTACCTTTGCACCCATACATAAACAGCATAGTGAATAAAACGAAGGTTATTTATTGCAAATTGCAATCCTTACTCGGCTTTTCTTTTTTATCCTCTGCATACGTCGGTATTCACTGATTGATTTTTTTCCAGTGTAAACTTCCAGCACCTGCTTGCACCTCTGTAGTAAAATGCAGCGCGATACGTTGAGAGACTGATCTTTGCGGGCCGTCTAAAGTGCCTTAAAAGCGCTAGTATACATGCTGAGCATCCTGTTAATGATTCCCAGCCAGTGAGAATTTCGGGATGGGTTGAAGAACGCCGAATAACGAACCACGAAGAAAGACACGTGATCATGATGCGACGAGAAGCTGAGGCAAAGGAGGAGGGGAGAGCGGCCGCGGACGTCAGAATGCCGAACTCTGATTGGAAGAATTAGTGGGGAGACCTAAAACTGGCTGTCTTTGCCTCCACGGTAATCCTCCAACGCGTTCGACGAGTGCAGTGGAGACAAAGGCTGCTAGCTTTAGGTCTACCCACTGAACACCCAAACCACCAGAGCTCGGCATTGTGACGTTCGCGGCCGCCATCGTCTCCCCCTTTCCCTCACTTTCTCTGTGAATAAAGTCACACTCTGCATTTCTCAAGCTGCCAGAGGCTATAGTTGAGAGAGAACTAAAAATAAGACCGGTATTATTATTATTATTATTTGCCTTTAAGAACGTTTGCTGCCCAAAACGAACTCGAAAAAGAAAAAGTATCCTGTCATTTCTAGCAGCAAAAAAAAAAAAAAAAAAAGAGAGAAAAGAAAGTCCACATTTGATATAAACATGTGTGTTCTTTTGATAAAACTGGGTTAATGATATAAGTAAAACAAATATTTGTCCAGAAAGATAAGCGGTCAAGCCAACTCTTGTTTTGGCCTAGTTAAATTGTCATTGGGACTTTAGACAGCAGGAGGTTAGCCTGCCTCCACATCTTTTCGGTGCTCACTGTGCACGGGGAGGCAGCCAACATAGCACGACCCCCAGACGCCGGTATCGCACGCCATGATAGAAACCGATAGGAGGGGGATTGGAAGTTGTCTGAAGACGGCCTTGCTCAAGTCTGCGGAGCGACCTTTCTCGCCGTTTATCACCAGACTCGAGACCATTGAATGTTTGGTCTTGAACCTTTGCAATGCATGGATGGACTGTCGGCCAGAAGGACGTACCATGTTTTCTTGCACCGTAAAAATAGGCTACACCTCTCAGAACGCCCCGCCAGGATATAACGGCAGCAGTTGAGACAGATGTCAAAGCTTCACGACTAACAGATAGATACCTGATCCCTAGATCTAGGTACGTAGCATCAAAGTTTGGATGATTATGACAATCGCGTCAATGCAAAGCCATATGCAGTGTCGCGATTTTCATTGTCATCCCGACTTTTGATAACATTAATAATAATGGCGGGGTAAAAAGTGCCCATGCGTCCAGTGAATTAGTACAGTCGGAGACAACTTTCCTTGAAATTTCCGGGGAGATGAGGAAAGCGCACGCACAGCGGCACTGAAGTGATTTTTTTTTCCTCGTTATTGTCATAACTCAGTCTTCGAACTCTAATCATTCTAAAAAGCCCGAAATTACATTCGTGCGCGGTCGATTTGCATATCCAAAAGTGATCGAAGTTCCCGACACTTACCGTCGGCACAGAACGACAGACCGCGCTACCGAACCTTGCTGAATAAGGTCGAACGACGGACGGCGCCTGTCAGCCACTCGAGGGCGATGTCGGCTTTAATCAGCGCGCAAAATGAGAGAGGGCACGTGAGCCCGGACTCTCACGTACCTACAACTACATTACCAGCAAGGGTTTCCAGACGCGGCTTCGGTACGCCTCAATGTAAGGTGGAGCACGCCAATTATAGGGCAACATAGAGAAGGTGCAGGGAGGGGTTCATATCGCATGACCGAATGACGTTTTGGCGAACAGCAACATTTGAGCGAATCAACGTTTTAGCGAATAACGAAGGCGCGTGTTAACTCCCCTCCCTCCCTCCCCCCCCCCCCCCCCCCCCCCTCCGCGCTGCGCTTACGACGCTTTGCGGCGACAGTCGGCGGCGGCTCATTGCAAAAAATGTGGACCCACTTGGCCCACCCGTAACCGCCGCCTCGCAGCGGCCGACTGTTCGCTAAAGTGTCATTCGGTGAAACGAGGGCGTTCGCTAAAACGTCATTCGATCAAGTAAGTCCCTCCCCGTAATCCCTCCCAAACGCGTTTAGAAAAAAAAAAAAAAAAAAACGCTCGTGGTGTGCAGGCGAACTTGCACCCCATATTCGCAATTCCAGCTCGCCGCTCACACTCTCGCGGACGAACGAAGAACCAGAGGAGCGGGGACGGTGGCGGAGACGACGGCAGGGACTGTCGACCTTGGTGCTGCCGCATGGTTCTGGTCGGAGTGTTTGTCCATCAGGCAGTTTCCACTTATAAAAGCAGCACGCTGATTTCCTGAACGCACGTCAACATCCCCGTCTCCTGTGTTATGTTCCTGCCCTGACCGCTTCGTATTCGTAGCCAATTAAAGTAATTTTAGCACACTGACCAGCATCAGTGAGCATGAGCACGGGAGATTCTGGAGAATCTATCCCCGTCTCGTCCACCATCTTGCGACTACAGCCCCGCCATCTACAGGGCGTAGCAGTTGTGAATAGAGGCCTTCGGAATAAATAGGCGTTGATAGCTGCATTAGTCAACATCTGGCTATCTGCACAAACATGAGATGAAATTTCGTAGTACTTGTTAAATCAGGATTCACGTGTTCGGCGGTTCCTTTCACTCTTTGCTCTTTTAACACAGAATTCATTTTTATCAGTCTAATTTCATAAAAATGGGTGATGTTTTACTGTAACGAAAACCAACCCACACCGAAAGGCGATACGATACGTCCACCAGAGTAATGGAATGCATATATGCCCAGAGCACGGTGGAACAAATATATTTAGGTGTTGACTCTCTGTCCGATGCGGCGACTGCATTATGTTTGGGGCACCGAGAGCGCTTCGTTCACACGGGGATAGATGGCGCCCAAGTATGGGATCCCTCCCAAACCGACCGCTCCGGTGGTTTTTCACAGCGGTGGTGCAACGGTGGTCCCGCATTCCCTCGCTCACCGCTTCTTGTTGTACGTCACCGCCGCCACGCAGCCACCAAGTCATCACAGTCCGTAAATCTGTGTTCTCTTCCTTCATGAAACGGGAACAGCGCGAAAATAAATGATGGACGAGTTGACGATAGAAACGGCGCTGACTACCAACTGAAAGGTTATTTGTGCACAAAACACGAAATAAACTGGAAAAAAAAGTCGGAAGACACCTAAGCACTTCTTATGAGTTGTGAATACGAAAGCATGAATGTCCAATGGAAAACCGCGGAGTGATCTGCGGAGTTTTGTGGCGCGAGTAATGTTTTCAAGTTGTGGCAGAAGCACCGCCGACGATGTGGATGATGGATGCAACGGCATATTGGTCGGCGGCGAGACGAGCAGAAGCCTCCGAGCGCGCGCCAACGTCTCCGTTTTAACCGGCGCGGGGCCCGCTGTGGGAAGGGGTTGTGGCGGTTAGTTTTATCGACGCGCTGGCGGCACTAAAGCCCCTTTATAAAGGCGTGTTTTACAAGTACCGCCAACCAGGGCCGTACCCAGAAAAAATTTTCAGGGGGGGTTTTCAGGGACAACAGCGGCCATTTTGTCTTATTTTCGCCTATGAATCATGTGCATCGGTGGCATATAATGGAGAG